AACAATTATCTATGGTAGATCGCTCTGGTCTAAAGCCTGCTTGTTCCTCCGCCAAAAGATTATTCTCCATAACCCAGATTTCAATTTTGCTCAACAAATGCTTTGCATACATTTTAGCAACCATTCCAATTAGGCTTATTGGTCTGTAATTATTTGGATTGCCTCTGTCTCCTTTTTTATGTAAGGGAACAATAATGGCCACTTCCCAACCCAGAGGTATGAGGCCAGTATTGTTTATAAGGGTAAATAGCCCTGCTAATAAAGGCGCCCACCAGTCCATATAAATTCCAGGGGCAAAAAATCTTCACCAGATGCCTTATTAGCTTTTGATGATCGAATAATGGATTTAATTTCTGAAACAGAAACAGGGGGCCAGATAGGGAGATTTAGTTAATAAATCATTGCTTTGGGTATGCATAGAGTCCTGATTGGGTTTAAAAGGAAGATTAGAATAAAAATTCTCACACGTTGAAGCAGAAATGGGGATATCAAAATAAAATTTACATTCCTTCAATATACCTGAGACAACATTCCAAAAGAAAGCTGAATTTGACCCTTTTGCCCAAATTTCCAAGTCCGACCATAATTTAGTCAAAAGGAAGCCTTCTTTGATGCTATCAATTTCTTATAATCACATCTAATTTTCAACATGTTGCTATAGTTTTTTGAGGTGGGACATCGCTGAACCCTACGCATTGCAGCTCTCAAATATTTTCTACTGTACGAACAGTCAGAATCAAACCAACCAACTCCAACTTGTTGGCGGTTTCTTATCGGAAGTTTGACAGTAAAAAATTTCTTCAATGAATGACATAGATCATCATAATGGGCCATAATATTATCTGAGCCTGAAGATGAATGAGAAATTAAGGTTCTTCAGATCTGAGGTTGTGCAGAATCAAAAAAAAAAAAAAATAGATAATGCCGCAGTATCAACTTTGGCCCATTTGAGTTTTCTATCCAGTCTCACTTCCAGATTTGCAAAAAAAAACTTTTGCCACAAGATGAGTTTCTCCATATATCTGAACTGCCTTGAAATAAAACTGAAATTGGTTGGTGATCACTACCTTCCCTCACATGGACTTGTATATCTGCGAACCTCTCAAGCTTATCTCTTGAAACACATATATAATCTAGAACGCTACTGGAGTTACTTGAGTGATAAGTAAAAGGATATATAAAACTATAGTCCTTACCTCCTATAATATAGAGATTACAATTATAAATCATAGAAACCAATTGTGTACCTGCAATATTTCTTTTATAATCACTGGAATGCCAGGGAGGAATAGCTAGTAAATCCTCAGGAATAACACCAGAATAAACAAAGTTATGTAAAGATGCCCCTACCTTGGCATTAAAATCTCCTGCCAAAACTATAGTAACGTTAGGATGTTGGACATTTAATTTTAGAACTGTCTCTTCCAAATTTGCCCAGATATTAGGTGTATAATAAGGGGTGGAGTGAGGAGGGATATATATATATTCAGCAATATCAATTCGAAAGAACCATAGAAGAACTTGACGATTAAATGAGAAACAGAAGCATCACCAAAGCCGAGCTTCTGGGCTTGCCAGCCCAACTCTGCTTTGGCTAGAATTGACAAGCCTCCAGAGGCCCTTCCTTTAGTCTTAGATTTAACTGCAGGAATAGACCACGAATCAAAGCCAGGCAGGTGGATCTGTTCTTCATCTGTGGTCAGCCAGGTCTCCTGAAGGGCTATAAGATCAAAATTTATCAAAAAATCCTCCAAGTCACCATCCATGGCTCTGGCTTTCCAGCCAGCAATATTCCAGGACAATAGGTGAAAATAATCTACTTGCTTGTCATTTGTCATTATAGGGAGGGAATTAATGTGAGCATTGGGAGGGACTCCAACATTTTCCAGTCATTCCACAGGAGTAATATTATCCAAGATTCCCTCAGAGTCAAAAAAGACGCACTGGTTTGTTCGGTGTTTGCCTTCACTACTACCAAATTGATAAACAGACTCCAAATGCTTCTGAGGGCCAACAGCCTGTTGCAAAGGCATCATTGTAGGTTGGCCCAGTGGGATAGTGTCCGAGACCAAAGGGAGTAGCAACGAGCAGGTGGGAACTTCCTTATGACGCAGTTCAACACCTACTCCAAGGTCATCTTCTATTTGTTGTTCTATTTGTTGTTCCACAGTAATTGAGCAACCACTCCTTCTCGCCTGTACACCTCTTTTACAGAGTTATTATTTGCAGCATCTATATGAAGAGAAATTTCATCAGAATTTTCAGAAAGAGCATTAATAACATCTGCAACCAGGATAGCAAATCCTATGGAAGGTTTTGCAGCTTTATGTGTGACTTCTAAAAGATCCTTCAAGTCGTCTAATCTTTTAATGATGCCCACTTGTTCAAGCTCTGGCAAAGTACAAAAAGAATTAATCAGGCTTGATTCCAGTATCTCAGTACGCTGCCGGATAGGAGGTTGATTTTTCAAGTTGCCACTTCTCAAGGGTGCGGGAGAGATAACATCCTTAGAGTTAACAGCTTTAAAATCGTTGCAATTAGGCTTGTGGAAAGCAGTGCTCTTCTTGCCAATATGAGTTATTAAAGGACTAATACCCTCCTTAGTAAACATGCGAATAGGAAAAATTCCAAATTCACTAAGGAAGGAATTCATTTTGAACAGCATACTGGCTATAGTGGGTTGTTTAAAAGTCAGCAAAATACGTTTAAAAGCCCCTCTGGAGGGAAGCCATTCCACCCTCTACAAATCCACCAACTGCCTTTCACAGCGAAGAAGCTGGCTAAGGGAAAGAATAACCGCATTTCTAAATCCCCACTTCTCTTTATTCATTTGGTTATTTAAAATTAATCAGGTAATCTGATGTCGCTGTAGATAACAGTTAAAACTTGTGTGCTTTTTATCCAAGACTTCTTGGGAGAGAGAACCTTGCTAATTTATTACTTATGGCCGTTGACTGAATATCATTTAAAAAGTCATCCATTTTAAGTTGTTTGGTAGGGTTGCATAAGGACTGTGTAGCTGAAAGAGGACACTCCCTCTTCTTCGTTTCCCATTGCTCATGGTGGGCCCCTCGCTTATCTACACATGCACACAGATGAGTCATCTTTAAAACAGTAGCAGCCACCAAGGCAGGCGAGAAAGAAGGGAACATCTGTTGAAGGAGCCGACTTTCCTACTGATTAACTTGAACTGCTCATTGTTGATCTCTCTCCTCGGAAGATTAGGCTGCACTGTGCCTCACAGCTCACTAGACTAAATTGGTTACCTATCATTGACCATTTTGTACTTGTTATTGGACTGTTTACCAGCAGTTGGACTGTTTTTAGCACTTGGTGCAGGGGTTAATTTAGTATAATTTTAAGAAAATGCAAATGAAAACAGCCAAATTTTTGTTACTTTCCTTTTTATTCTGGATGGAATCCAGTCAAGCTCTTCTAGTAATGGAACTGCTTCCTTCAGTGGAAGCAGGGCATCAGGCCAGGTTGTGGGATGAGCCTTTTTTGGTATTCTGTGAATGCACTAGGTCAGTGGTCCCCAACCTTTTTTGTACCACGGCCCGGTACCGGCATCACAAAATGATCCACGGACCAGTACCGGCATCAGCACGCACGACCAAGGCAAGGCGAGCCGAGCGACTGGCCAGCCAGCCGTCCCCCGCTTCTCCCCGCCACCTTCAACTCCTTTGTACCTTCTCGCGGTCGATGGGCTTTTCGGGCTCTTTCTTAATCTCCTCCTGAGTAACGCGAGACTCCACCACCATCGGGACGGCTCTTCGTTCAAAGCCCCCCCCCTTTGACGAATCTAAGGTGCGAGGATTCCTTCAGCACCCAAACGCCGCTTTTCAACCGACGACCGACAAGCTCACCCGGAAGCACTTTCTCAAGCGCCGTCGAAACAAGATGGCGGCACCCAAGCAAAGTAGGCGGCCCGGTACAAAATGAACCACGGACCAGTACCGGTCCGGGGCCCAGTGGTTGGGGACCCCTGCACTAGGTGATTTTGTGTTTGTGAGAGAGAGAGAGAGAGACAGAGAGAAGGGGGGGAGGGAGGGAGGGAGGGGGAGGGAAGGAGTGAGAGTCTTGCTCCTATTGTCTTTATGCCTAATGCAGAACTAGAAATCACTGTCTCCTGGTTTCTAGCCTAGTGCCTTAACCACTAGACCAAATGAGCTCTTTTTAATTGCTCTCAACATGCTTTTGTTGTTTGATCGCAGGTTATTTTATTGTTTATGTCAAGTATGAGTGGGTGATCGTATATACTAAAATTAAGAAATAAATGAAAACAAATAACATAAGAAGAAGATGGATGATTGGGGGAAGAAGACTTTTCCCATGCAGTCTTCCAAGACCACCTGAGCAGATTTGGGGGGATATCCTCAAATGCTGCAGCAGAAGAGGAAAGGAGTAGGGTGAGGAGAAAACCTTATGACGTATCATATCAGCCTAAGAGTGTAGCATCCATCAATTTCCATACCATACCAACCTCCTATTTAATTTACAGTTGGTTCACTATCATTCCTCAATGATGAGGGACAGCCCCCTTGGATTGCTCAGGTTTTCTCTTTTATTAATCCCCCAGTTTTGCTCTCAAGGAAGTTGTTCCATCAACTGAAACAATCCTTCTGTGATAAAAATAAGGCTGGATATTTAGAAACATCAAATGAAAGATGACTAACATCTTACACAATGACCTAGTACAGTCTTTGGAATCTAATATGCTTTGGACTACAAGTCTATCATCTTTACTCAGTTTAAGAATGTATCAAATAAATGCAACTCAAAGTATACAATCATGTAATTTTTTGATTAATCAAATCAAGCCTATTCTTGATTTAATTAATTAAAAAAGTCATAAGAAATCCAATCAGATTTCTTTAGTGGCTAACATCTTATTCAAATGCATTGGATGTATGAATCCAATGAAATAGTTTCTGGGGGGAGGAAACAGATTGTGGCTGATTCCTGAAATTAATATCATGAACATTTCTCTTCTTTTCCAGTGTTCACTATCAATAAAGTTTCACTCCAGGCTTTTCCACAAAACGAAATACACAATGGAGTACCATTCATCCTCAACTGTTCTGTGGATATTAGCAAGAATGAACATTTCCGACTGAATTACACGTTTTCATTTTTCAAGGATGGTGAGCTTCTGTTCACTAACACAGTTGAACAAGATAGCGCCCAGTATACAATCTCAAAGGCTAGATTTTCTTCTTCAGGACAATATGAATGTTCATTAAGTGTTGAGGAGAAAAAAAAATTCAGTGACCCTTTGACCGTTAAAGTTGAAGGTAGGTGTCTCTTTATACTTTGAAGAAACAACTCAGGTATTAAAATTGTTCTTTATAGATAGGAAAGATTAAACACAAAATTTCCTTGTATTTTTACCACAGTGCTTTTTTCTAATTTTTCCTTCCTTCTTTCTTTCTTTCTTTCTTTCTTTCTTTCTTTCTTTCTTTCTTTCTTTCTTTCTTTCTTTCTTTCTTTTCTTTTCTTTTCTTTTCTTTTCTTTTCTTTTCATTTCATTTTTCTTTTCTTTCTGCTTATTCCAGAAAATCTTTTTGTGTTATTTTTCATTTTCTTTACTTAACATATTTTAGCCTTTTTCCTGGAAAGCACCCAGCTTTATCACTTGTGTCTCATGTTTTTCATAGTCACATCTTCCTGGTATTTTTCTGTGGATGTAGCTTCTCTTGTGTAAAATTCTATCTGGACTGCAGATTTTTATTCAGTTGTTTTTTTGAAAATCCTTTTACTCTACCATTTAGTGTTACAAATTTCCAAAGCAACAAAAACAGTCTTTCCCAAGTCTGCACTATGAGGAAGAAATCCAAAGAGGTTTTGCAACACTTGTGGCATTTGGCTCTAATCCATAAAGAAACCATGACATACAAAATGGCTTTCTTTAGGTGATCCTTTTCCCAAAGAAAGTGGCACTTTTTTTACTTTATCAAAAAGATCTCTCTGTCAGTTGCTATTTGCCTCTTTGGGTTATTTTTTTCCCTCCTGCCTTTATTATTTTTATAAATAACTCATACCTAATGCTCCTTTCTCCTCCTATTTTCCTCACAGCAACAACCCTGTGAGGCTAGTTGGGCTGAGAAAGAGACTGACTGCCCCCAAAGTCATCCAGCTGGCTTTTGATGTCCAAAGTGGCACTAGAATTTACGATTCTTTGGTTTCTAGCCCTGTGCCTTAACCAGCATGGCTCTCCAGTTTGTTACAACTTGTCATAACTTATAACAACAACTTCAAGAAAAAAAGAACTTTAGAAGAAGATCCTTTGGAAGAAAGATCCTAGGTTTTCCTTTTTTTTCAGAGCTTGAAAAAAACAGCCTGAGCTTGAGATTTTTCCTGTATTGACACATAAAAATCCCAAGATCAAGCTGAAATGGCTTTCAGCTTGTCACTTGCAAAGATATATTTTAATTCATGAATGCTTCTCTATTTTGAAGGCATAATGAAGCCGGAATTGAGTGTCCTGAAAACAGAAGTGATGGAAGGTGAAAATGTACTTTTACGCTGTGAAATGCCAGATGAAAAGCCACCTTTAATTTTCACATTTTATAAAACTAAACAGTCTGCAAATGGAGTTGTACAAGAGAGAAAACGAATATCGAAACTTGAAAATTTTGTTGAGTTAGAATTTCCCATTGATGCCGGAGATAGTATTTTAAATTTTGAATGTGCTGTCGAGATGAATTTAGTGACAGGATCTCAAGCTTCAGGGCGCAGTAACCGAACAATAGTCACAGTTTCAGGTAAGTTAGTCAGACTTTTACTTTCAAAATTAATAAGCAAAATTATGCCTTTTGATTTTGTTTAAAAAATGCTGCAAACTGAGTTGTAAATTCTCATTATCCCAGATAAACACATTCTCATGGTAAACCCAACCAGCCTAAATATATTCTCTTCTACATTTTTTTTACACTTTAAGGAATCACTTAGTAATGGTTCTTTCTACATCTCATATGTCAACTTGGCTTTTAGGAACTAACTTGAAAGTCAAATCGATGAAATATTCTTAAATGTCAAATCAATGAAATATCCTTAAATATTTCTAAAAGTTAAATAAACGAAATACTCCTAAAATCAATGAAATATTCCTAAAAGGGAAACCTATGAATGATCCCAGTTCTCTAGGTGATATTGTGTCAGGGAATTGTGCAGCAGCTGTCCAGATAAAGTTGGGGACACTAACACAAACTTGCAGTGTTTTATATATATAAATATATTTATCATTCAAATTTACAGCAGTCTTTTTCATCATCCAGAAAAAAAACAACACAAGATAGTCAGGAACACAGGAACATCATGGGGTAAATTAAACATTATACAAAGCACACAGAAGAAAAAAAAGGAGGGAAAAAGGGGAAACTCCCCTTTTAAACTTACAGCAACCAATCATAGCATAGATTGCCTCATGCATGAGTCAGCACTCTCTAATTAATTACAACTCTGTTTTCTGGCCTATTGTACACTTTACTGTTCCTGCTACTAAATTAAATATCCTAACATATTGAGAAATAATTGTTATGCCAGATGGATCTTTGAATCAACAGGGCGGTTTTCAACTTGTCAGAGATATTCCAAGCATGTTAGCTGACTCATGATTGAAGGTACAAGAACTGCCGAAAGCACTGGTTCTGGATTATCCCTGATGCTGGCAGTCATATATTTTAAAATAAATTAAAGGTTTTTGTCAAATTCTTCCATGGTTCATAGAAGAGTTTTGCACAGAACTAAATGTAAGGAAATGTAACTAGTATATAAGTCCTCAAAGATCACTACAGAAAATAAAATAACCATTAGTCTTGTGACACTTCGTTTGTGCAACTTTGTCTATTGTTTTTCCAGAGAAAGTAATACTATGTGTGCACCTTTGTATCCTTCTGCAGTTGATTTTTTTTTTTTTGCATGGATCAACTGATTAATATATGCTGTGATAAGAACGTCACCATTTTTAACCCAGGGAAAATAAAGGACATTGCATACCACCACAGTTTTCATTCCAACAACTGTTTTCAGCCATTCCACAATTGCTCTTCTTGTTACTGATGTGAGGCTTGAAAGCATCTCATGAGCTCATGGATTTGTCCTCAAATTGACCAATGGGAAGCACCGCAAAACCCCCAATTGTTTCACCTTTTCCCTGTTTTTCTAGTGATTTCTAAGTTATGTTCCAGGGAGCTACCATGTTGCTCCTCCAGAAACCATAAAAGAGCAGCAAAGGTGGTAGGGTGAGGAGCACGGTGGCTTGTGTGGTTAGGATGTTGGGTTGGAGGTTAGCAAGCCTGTGTTTGAGACCCAAATGCTACCATGGGGCAGGGATGAACTTCTGTCCTTTGCTCCAGCTTCTGCTGGGGACATGAAAGGAGCGCCCTACTGGGTTTTCTCTGAGCAGTGGTGATGCCACTGGCTAAATCTTTCAACCTGGAAGGCCCTTGGTGCTTCTGACACAAGTACTCAGCTATGCTAAGGGTAGGGTGATATCTTTAGAAACCAGTAAGCAGAACAAGGCAAGAATGCCCAGTAGGTCTGCATCCACCCCAAAGTTCCAAAATCCATGCTGCTCAATTGTCTCCACAGTCACTTTTTTTTGCACCCCAAAAGAATGAGGAGTTAACTGGCTATATAAAGAGTATATTGCCTTATAGACACAACCACGTGAGTTTTTGTGGGTGCAGAGCTTAATCTAGAAGTAGTGGAGATGTTGCCGTTAGGGAAACCCAACTCAAATATTTCATCACAATTACTTTGCTAAAGTCTGTTCATCATCATGAAGGAGCAGAGATGAAATTTTATTAAAAGGTCTTAATGCAATTTATTCTCGGCTGAACAGACATACTTATTTCTTAGAACATTGTGTATGTTCCTTAATAATCTCCCCAGTGTGAGAATAAATTCAACAGGGGTACAGAATTATATTATGAATGGTCTTTTTTGTTTAGGCCCATGCAGTGCTCTGGATTTAAAGATAAAAAGCTGCTTTAGATCATTATTTGACCTAGCAGTGTGTGTGTGTGTGTGTGTGTGTGTGTGTGTGTGTGTGTGTGAGAGAGAGAGAGAGAGAGAGAGAGAGAGAGAGAGAGATTATCCCTTGTTCCTTTTGTATATGGGTCAATCTTGCATGCATATACAAAGGAGTAGGGCAAGGCTTTCATTACACAGTTGAAATTACCATCTCATGCCCACCCCCAAACATGCCATTGGACACCAAGTACTTAAATCAAATGTATATTTTCCCAGAGTCTCAACAATTCCAAGAAATAAATAATAACACAGCCCGACTAACTATAAGTAATAATTGTTTTTACTTTGTATAGTTTATTTAATTTTTACTTTTATCTTTCCCACCCTTCCCTTTCCTCAGATTCCTTTATATGGATAATATTACATATATCTAAAGAAGTGGACCATAGTCAATGACATCTTAAATTCTTAGTTAGCTTATAAGGTGTGTGAGAAGTTTTACATCCGAATATACCGTATTTTATTCTTTATACTGTTTCCATCTTCCCCTCAAAATATTATCAGAGGTGGAATTCAGCAGGTTCTGACAAGTTCTCCAATTTCTGGTGGAAATTTTGCATAGTTCAGAGAACCAGCAAATACCACTTCTGACTGGAGATTTTACAGTATCCTTCCCCTGCCACGCCCACCAAGCCACACCCACAGAACCGGTAGTAAAAAAAAATTAATCCTACCACTGGGTCACATCATACCACAGAACCGGTACGGTAATAAAAAAAATTGAATCCCATCACTGTCTACAATGGTCTGAGAATCAGTGTCTCCCACTAGATAATTAACAGTCAAGCTGAAATTAAGTTAATCAGCTAAAATTAGCAACTTCCTCAAACAAGTTACCTAGACCTAATCCACATATCAAAAGATAAGATCTACAAACACAATAGAGTTAAGTAAATTAGGTCTCCCAGAGGAGCTCCATATTCACAAGAATAAACATACGAACACACACATACACACATACATGCCCCTCAAGTGTCATCCTAGAATCAGCGCATGACACCTGGACAAGCTGCCCCTATAAAATTCCACTGTTGTACCCCATTTCTCTGCAGCTTGCCCTTAAATGCAAACTGTTTTGCTTTTAGGAATAAATATTTATTCTTTCCTCATAGCTGCCTGCATCTCATTTTTATTTATTCTTACGCAGCCACAGCTTGAGTTGGAACCCCAAATTATTTTTCTGACAGCTGCCACAAGGCCCAGGTTTAGGTTTTTGCTTTAGCGGAGTAATGTAGCTACCTCTCTGGAATCTTTCCATGTGCTGTTTTGTGTTTTTTAAAATTATCATAGATTTGCTTCTTTTTTGGCAGAACCATTTTCTGTTCCTAAAATAACCATCGACTCACCACAGAATATTACCGAAGGGGATAAGATTTGTATAACATGTTCAACTGTCCTACTTCGCCAGGATCAAACTGAAATTATCTTGCAGAAAAATAAAACAATTCTGAATAGCACAAAGGGCAGAGAGACCCTAACATATTGCAAGATAGTCAAGTTGGAAGACAATGGCAATTATATTTGCACAGTGGAGCATGGAAGTGTATCTAAAACCTCTGGAGAAGAACTTGTGGTGACTGGTAAGAGATTTTTCCATCTTGCTTTAATAACTCATGGCCTGATTTTAGTCTATGTTTTCATTAATTATGGAGTGGAATATTTACTTTTTCAAGATATGAATTTATCGTATGGATGAATTCTAGTCAGAGCGGTCTCATGATGTCCTATGATGTCTTTCACACTTTGTGAAGCTGTTTCAGGCGAACCCAGCAAAATATAAGGGAGTATCTAAACACACATGCCTTTCCTTTCCTCAAGTTTTAAGTACAGCAGGATTGGGGATTCATATATCATAGTTCTAGAAACAAACACAGAAGGTGTTGCATGTTTTTAGGCAAGCTGTAGGATATGAAGACAATGTTGCCTTGCCTAAGAATAAGGCAGCCGAGTCCTTCAGCCCACCATCATGAATCCACTTAAAACTTGGGAAGGGCACAGTAGACAATAAGATTTATCAGGAGTACTTTTCAAACTCAGAAATAGCATTCAGAAGGATGTTTTTGAGCCATCTCATGGAGTCTGTGGGCAAATATGAATTACTCTAATGTAGTGCATTCCTTAAAATTCCTTCAACTAAACACAGAGCCTTCCTTCTATGATAGGGTAGCATTACAGTACAGGTAGTCTTTGATTTACAACTTACAATTCATTTAGTGATCATTCGAAGTTACAACTGTGGAAAATAACAAAGGGTTGTTTTTGTATCAGACATAATTTAACATTTTTAAGAACATGTACTTAGAAAAGTAACGTGCCTTAGAATAACAAAGAAGAGTAGTTAGAAGAATAGGAAATGTTTGCAATCTTAGAAGAATAGCTAGGTGATAGAAACATGCCAGCTAACAGTTTAACCATAAGAGCTTACAGAGAAGCATAAGGCTAAAGAAACTAACTACTTATTTCAGTTTCTTGTACCAATGCAAATGGGTTCCAAGAAAGCAGGACCTGTGGGCTACTGGTAGGTGAAATTGTACACATTCACTGCTAAAGGCAAACAAGGGGAAAGGGAATTAAGTAGAGGGTGATGGAGAGATATAAACAGGGAGGGGACTCAGGTGGGTGAAACAGGCATTCCGGAATGGTTGTAAACCTTATGGCCCTTGTCAAATGGGGAAAACAAGGGAGGGACTTGAGCTTTGGGCTGAGGGAATAAAATGCTGCTGGAATCTGTCTTTGGGTGTGCTTACTTTGCTAGCCACCCAAGAACGTACTTTTCAATAAACTTTTTGCTGCTTCACTCACTTTGTCAAATCTCTGAGTGGTGAGTCTGTTTTCTCACACAACGGCAGTGAGAAAAACTGACTTATGACCAGTTTTCAAACTTGCTTCACTGTCACACCAGCATCCCACGGTCACATAATCAAGATTTGGACTCCTGGCAACTGGCCATGTATTTATGACAGTTGCACTTTCCCAGGGTCATGTAATCACCACTTCCCAGCTGACAAGCCAAGTCAATGGAGGAAACTAGATTTGCTTAATGACTATAGGATCCAATTAACAACTGCATGATTCGCTTAACAACTATGGCAAAAAAGTTGAAAATGGGGCAAAACTCATTTAACAACTGCCTTGCTTAACAATGGAAATTTTGGGCTCAGTTGTGGTTGTATGTTGAGGACTACTTTTTAAAGTGAATGAGTGTTGTAATCCTTGTAGTTTAACGTATTTTAAGATTTACATTTATGTCTTTTTCAGCAATGTGCTATTATTTTCATGATTTCTCTTATTGTTTCCATTGTACTGTGGATGTCTTTTTAGAAGAATACATAAACATTAATCCAAACTTCCTGGAAGAAACGAAAGCCACCTTCCAGTCATTCGGCAGCGAGCAAGTGAACAAATAAGTGCATTTAGTGTTCTTAGAAGCGAAAGTGAATCATCCAGAGTTTCCTGACAGTGACAGGAAAAATTAGACCCAGAGCAAAATGCTGAAAGGGTGGTGTTGGGGCCAGTATCACCCATGCATGAAATTTAAACAATAATTTTGTATGCTTTGTAAATAGCATACAATAGGCCCTTTTACATAGCAGGAAACCCATGGACTGAATAGTTCCTTTCAACAGATTGTCCTTCCCCCATTATTTCTGCAAACATGAGAATGGCAAATTTCTGTTGGGCAATTAAGCTTGTTTTCGCTATTAAAAACAGAAAAAGGCAGCTCAGTTTTGTAAGCTGCCAAGAATCACTGAATTGTGGCAGGTCACACATTTCATAGATAAATGTGCAGTTCGTGCCTGGGGTACTAAGACTTGATATCCCATGCATTATGTACTGATAAGGAAGAGGCTTTGTACATTGCAGTTATTATAGTTAACCTGTTCCTTTCATCTCTACAATCACCTTACAAATTCCTCCTCACTATAATTCCAATGATGATGATGAAATGTTATCCATTCAATCGTGTCCAATTCTTGGTGATGCTATGAACCATGTCTCTCCACATCTTCTGATCTTGCACAACTTCTTTGTGTTGTTCTGTGCTCTGGCTGGTGTCAACTTTGATGGTGATAATTCCAGTACTATTAACTTAACATTCCCTGTTGGATGACGGAGGGAAAATCTATCTATCTATCTATCTATCTATCTATCTATCTATCTATCTATCTATCTATCTATCTATCTATCTATCTATCTATCTGTGTTTGGAACCATTATTCAAGAATTTTGACCATATGCTCCCACTAATTATTTTAATGGTTTTTTTATTTTTGGGGTTCTGAAAGGGTAGTTCACACTCTGTAAAACTAACATTTGATGACATATCTTAGTGTGAAGGTGGTAGGTGGTATCTTTACTGGATTGCAACTCATACAAGCAAGTATGAGTGTCTCTGGATTTGGGCTAGTTCTGGAGTGGTGCCATTGATAACTCTAGAAGTATTAGTAACACCTCCCCCCACCCCCGCAGGCAGAGTTAGCATATAATCTGGGAGTCCTCCTGTACTCATGAGTTCTAATCAAGGAATAGTTGGTAGCTATGCCTAAAATGTAGAAAGGTAAAGATTTCCTTGTCCGGTCATGTCTGACTCTAGGGAGCAGTGCTCATCTTCATTTCTTAGCCAAGGAAACCAGCGTTGTCTGAAGACATTTCCCATGGTCATGTGGCCAGCAGTGCTATACGCCAAAAGTGCATGGAATGGTGTTACTGTTCCACTGTCCCACCAAAGTGGTACTTATTAATCTACTCACATTTGCATGCTTTCAAAATGCTAGGTGGGCAGGACATTTGCACAAATCCCATTTTATGTACCAGTTGCACCTTTTCTTGGATCTGCTGGTAGTCTTTCATGCCTTAGTCATTTTCAGATTGAATTACTGCAACACCCTGTCTTGAAAAGCATTTGAATCCTTCAATTGGTCCAGGAAACAATCGACATGCATAGTATTGGGTACATCTCAACTCTGATTTAGACTTGTCCACAACTGAGTGTAGGTATCGACATATATCTGCACTGTGAAGGGGTTGATGGATAAAAGTAGGTTGCAGATAGTTGTAGGCGGGTTGAGGTGCATACCTCCCAAATGTCAACTATGTGTTGTGTAGAGATGCATGTCCTTCATGCTGATTGATTGTTCCTGTTGGGAGGCAGGTGGAAGGGAAGTCACATTGTTGTTTGAAGGCCCCCTATCCAAAAAACTGGCATTCACAAAAGTATAATGCAACAGCTATGCCATTGTCTCCGAATAACAGGCGCAAGTGTTCTCTGACTGTAGTGATGCAGAAGTCTAAACCACAACTAAGTTTGTCTATGCAACTCACTGGTGTAAGGTGCCAGCTACAATTTTTAAGGTCAAATATAGCACAGAGCCAAAACTGCCTCACCCCAGTCATTTCTGACTGTCCCAACAGGGCACATATACTTCAGGTCTCCTCAATGATATAGAGCCATCTTGCATGAGCCTAGGAGTCACACAGTCTCTGTGACCGTGCCTATCTTAAGAAACAGTATTTCCCAACCCAGCCCCAGATCTAAATGTTTCTGACCCTCTTGGCCTTTCAGAAGTTTATGAAATCCTGGTTACCCCTCCACAAGGAGAGCCAGGTTGTTAGCAGAAGCCGGTATCCATGCTTTTGAGATTGTATTTGTGAAGTGCTTTGACTACTGCTTTATATTGGTTATTTGCTTAAGATGGGTAGCTGTATAAATTTTCTAAATAAACAACTATCTTCAGACTCCCCTTCTCGTTCCAGATCAGTAATATATGCTCTCTCGTTATTTTGCAGAACTGTTTTCCAAACCGATGTTAGTGGTTAATAAAACCAAGTGGGACGAAAACAGCATCGTACGAATTCAGTGTCAAGTGAATGGCCCAATGCCGATCAGTCTCTCGCTCATAAAGGACAACAAAATATTGATAAACTCCAGCATTTACACGGCTCAACTCCGTGTATCTGACAGTGGAATCTATATGTGTAGAGCAGAGATAAACAACATTTCCAAGGAAAGTGACCCAGTATTTCTCCACATTTATGGTAGGTTGATTTAAAGATGTGAAGCCCTCTGTTTTTACTTCTGCCTTCTCTAACCTGGAGCTCTTCTAGATATCAATAAAGGAGAATATTTGTAGTTCAGGGTTGAAATGAGGGTTCCTTGGTGCTCTCTGACCTTGCTTGTTTTCTTGCAGATGTTTCATTACCCAAATTAGGTAACACCATGATGTTTGGGTAATGAAATGTCTGCAAGGAAACAAGCAAGGTCAGAGAGCACCAAGGAACCCTCTTCTAGATATGCTGAGAGTTGGGACAGCTTGGAAATCTTGGAAATCTTAGCTGGCATGTCCAATGCATTTGGAAAAGCCAAGGCTAAGGAAGGCTTTCTTATCTGATAAATTGGAAATCTTTATACGCTTGAATGCAAACCTTTCTGTAACTTTATGGTACAGGTAACCCCCAACTTATGATCAGTTGCTTAGTGACCATTCAAAGTTATGATGGACCTTCAAAAACTATTTAGGACCTGGTTCCGAAGTTCCAACAACTCCCCCCCCCCCGAGACAGGCAGTCACATGACCCTTTTTGACCCATTCTTCAATTAGCCCACATTTACAGCTGTTTGCGGTACACCGTGGTCATGTGACCAAGCTTTACGACAGTGTGTGATTACTCATGTTTCATTAAATGAATCAGCTCATATCTGTTTCATTAAATGAATCAGCTCATATCTGTGTCCTGCGGTAGTGCATTTTTGTCCCGTACTACTTTCATAAAGAATACAGTAATCCTCGACTTACGGCCACAATTGTAGTGAAGTGAGACATTTATTAAATGAATCTTAACTTTACGACCTTCCTTGCCACAATTGTTGAGTGAATCACTGCAGTTGATCAGTTTTTAACTCAGTTGATAAGTGAATCTGGCTTCTCCATTGATTTTGCTTGTCAGAAGGTCTCAAAAGGGGATCACATGACCTTGGGACACAGCAATGGCCATAAGTATGAACCAGCTGCCAAGCATCTGAATTTTGATCATGGGGAGGCTGCAAAGGTCAAAACTGAGAAAAACAGTCCTAAGTTACATTTTTCAGTGCCTTTGTGACTTTGAATGGTTACTAAATGAGCTGTTGTATTTTTGAATAAGGATAGACTGCACTTCCCCTCACCATTGTGTGTGGCTTTCTTTCTGCACTTTCATTTCCCATTTTAGGAATTAACTGCCGTGCAATGAAACAGGGTTGTTTTATTATTTCAACTGCAATAATCTCCTAATGTGTGAGATAGGCGGCAAATAAATTTAGTTAGTTAGTCAGTCATTCAGTCATTCAGTCATTCATTCATTCATTCAGTCAGTCAGTCAGTCAGTCAGTCAGTCAGTCAATTGATAATACTCTTGTTTCTTTCCAGCTCCAGTTTCTCTGCCTGTCCTTTCTCAACCATTTTCCCAAGTAGGTGTTCTGGATAAGTTCTTTGTCTTACAATGCTACTCAAAGTTTGGGACTCTGCCTATAACATACTCCCTTTACAGAGGGAATATATATATCAGGAAGATTGTGACTGAACAAAATGTGCCAGCAAACTTTACAGTCAAAGCGACTAGCATCCAAGAGTCTGGACAATACAGGTGCCATGCTAACAATGGCCACTCTATTTCACAACAAAGCAAAAGGATAAATGTCACAATAATAGGTAACTATTTAGTATGCTTTTTTTTTTTGAAGATTGGCGAAAATTGCTGTTTGTCTGAATCTGAATATATCTGAAGGGTGCTAGGTTGGGAAAACTGATCTGTGGAAATCATTGGTTTCATAAGGTTCCTTTGAAAAATCTTAGAACTCTTATGTTGCTATTTTTTAAAAAGATCCTAATATAGACAGGATTTCCTTGCCTTTGTATGCTGTCTGGAAATGGATTCCATTAGAGATGACAGAGCTTTATGTTCACCTACAGCAATTCTATTTTTTTTTTTTTACCCATAAGCCCAGCCAATTTGGTCTAGTGGTGAAAGCACCAGAGTAGAAAGCGGGAGACCCTGAGTTATAATCCTGTTTTAGGCATGAAAGCCCTCTGGGTGACTATGGGCCAGTTCCTCTCTCTTAGCCCAAGCCACCTTACAGGGTTGTTGTTGTGGGGGAAATAGGAAGATAAAAGTATGTTGGAATATATTTGCTGTCTTGAATTGTTTGTACAAATTATAAAAGCAGGAGACTAAATAAATAAAAAATAAAACAGTTGGGAAGGATTGGGACCTTTGCTAACCCAATTTAACCTGCTGCTGACTTTTGTCCATGTACTTTCATCCACAGCTCCTGTTGTTAATATAACTTTTAAAAGAGAACCAGAGGAGAACATAGAAGATGGCAATGGACTCGTATTTTTCTGCTCAGTTGCATCAGGATCCTTCCCTATTGAGTTCCACTTTTTTAAAGAAAACGATGGCAAATCCTTACATCAGGTCATAGAAAAGAAAAAACAGGTAGTTTCTTGGGCGAAGGAAAGCTTCACAAGCCAGGATGAAGGGAGTTACTTCTGCAGAGCTGACAACCAAGCAAAATCTTTTGTGGAAAGCCAGAAGATCCTTGTCAAGGGTATGTCCTGCTCCTGAGCACAGAAGACAAAGTCTATTGGCCCTGCCTTCTGTTCTTGATCACAATGGGGATGAACATGCATTGTGTCATCATGACACAAGGTGTAGATATTGCATTTGATGAGGTTAAATTTCACCATGTAATACCTCCAAGAAGTACTAAGAACCGCTTCTTAGTACAAGGATTCAAAAGAAAGAATTGAAGTGTGTATTGTGCACCACAAGAGGATAAGGGATAATTTTTCTGCATTTCTGAAAACGTTTTCTTAGAACAATCTTTCAGATTTTGTTCTATACAGTTCGTTTTAGTGACTATTCAAAGTTACAATGGCACTGAAAAAAGTGATTTATGACTGTTTTTCACAGTTACGACCATTGCAGCCTCCCCATGGTCATGTGATCAAGATTCAGATGCTTGGCAATTGGCTCATATTTATGACCATTGCTGTGTCCCAAAGGTCATGTGATCCCCTTTTGTGATCTGACAAGCAAACTCAATGAGAAAGCCAGATTCATTTCACAACCTGGTTACTAACTTATCGACTGCAGTGAGCCACTTAATAACTTTGGCAAGAAAGGTCATAAAATGAGGCAAAACTCACTTAACAAATGTCTCATTTAACAACAGAAATTTTGGGCTCCATTGTGGGTGTAAATCGAGGACTACATGTACAATATTGCAGATGCCAGGATGAAACTTAGATAGGATCTAACAGGAAGCATGAATTATCCCAGCTTTCAAACAAACGCAGAGGTAGTCCTTGATGTACGACCACAACTGAGCCCCAAATTTCCATCGCTAAACAAGGCAGTTGTTAACTGAGTTTTGAACCATTTTACAACCTTTTTTTGCCAAATGTTAAATGCATCACTGCAGTTATTAAGTGAATCACCTGGTTGTTAAGTGAATCCGGCTCCCTCCCCCGTTGACTTTGCTTGTCAGATGATGACTGGGAAGGTTGGCAAATGGTGATCACATGACCTCGAGATAGTGCAACTGTCATAAATACACGTACATGCCAGTTGCCAAGAGTTTGAATTTTGATCACATGACCATGAGGATGCTGCAATGGTCCTAAGTGTGAAAAATGGCCGTAAATCACATTTTTCAGTATCACTGTAACTTCGAATAGCCACTAAATGGATGGTTGTAAGTCGAGGACTACCTGTCATACCTCTTCAGGGTCATAGATAGAGAACAAGTGATGGAACCACATGTACCACATAAAAAATTGCCCTCTATGGACAAGAGGGGAGAATTTGCACCTTGATGCACATTTTCTCAGTTTGGTGTTAGAAGCTGCTGCCTGTACATCCAGGAATGTAACATGCCAATGGAAAGAAGCTCGTGTTCTTTCATACCAAGCAGAAGTACAAAGAGAATTCCATTACACCTAGCCGTTATTATGTGGCTTTTCCTCAGTATTTTGTCCAATTCTGTTACAGCAGCGGTGACAAACTCAAGGGTGCTTAGATCTGGCCCATGAGGCCATCTTGGAAACAGGGAAGGACTGGCCCATGGCGCTTCTGCCAGAGAAAACAGAGCTTGGGAGGGCTGCGCACGGCCCTCCCAGGCTCTCCTTTTGGCTGTGATAGCCTTCTACAGCCCTCTGACAGAGAAAACTGCTTAATTTCTCCCAATCAAGCAGAAAAAAATAGATGCCCTTTTTGCTAACAAACTAACAAATATATATAGGAATAGTAATGGGGGACTTCAATTACCCAATTGGAAGTCTTAATTCCGCACCAAGTGAGAAATCAAAGAGGTTCCTAACCAACCTAGCTGACAATTTTGTTGTCCAAAAGGTAGAGGAGGGAACTAGAGGCAGTGATGGGATTCAAATAATTTAACAACCGTTTCTCTGCCCTAATGATTGCTTCCAACAACCAGTTCACCAAACTGCTCAGAAAGTTAACAACTGGTTCTGCCGAAGTGGTGCGAACTGGCTGAATCCCACCACTGACTAGCGGGGCTTACCGTATTTGCCGGCGTATAAGACGACCCGGCGTATAAGACGACCCCCCACCACCACCGGAAACGCCCTCCAGAAATCCCCGGGGCTGCAGCGGCAGGGCGGAGTGCCAGGGGCCATGGGAAGAGCAGGAAGGCTGCAGCCTCGGGCGGAGCGAGGCGAGCGGGATGAAGCGGAAGCGACGCAGGGGATCCGGGAAGCCAGAGGCGCCTTCGCTGCGTCCAACAAGCATCCGAAAGCCGGCAGTGGATATACCGGCGTATAAGACGACCCCCCCCACTTGGAGGCATGTTTTTCGGGGCAAAAAAGTCATCTTATACGCCGGCAAATACGGTAATTCTTACAAACACAGAAGAAGTGATAGAGGGAGCTGAAACTTGGGTGCAGGAGCCTTGGGTGAGAGTGACCATGTCACACTAGAATTCCACATACCGCAAACACAAGCAATAGAACGTAATCATACCAAAGTCGGGGCTGAGAGCTGCAGGAGGCTGTCATGGCCATTGTGGCCAAAAACAGAGCCTCGACAATTGACATCGAGCTGGCCACGCCCTCCCTGGCCATGTCTACCCCAGCCCTCCGAGGTCAAATACAACCCGGATGTGGCCCTCAATGAAATCGAGTTTGACAGCCCTGTGTTAGAGTAAAATTGCATGGCAGGATCTGCCTGTCCAGCTCCTTCCCATAACGACTCCAAGCGAAGGCAGGTAGTCCTCAGAATAATAGAATAACAGAGTTGGAAGGGACCTTGGAGGTCTTCTAGTCCAACCCCGTGCTCAGGCAGGAATACCATTTCAGACAAAGGGTTGTCCAATCTCTTCTTAAAAACCTACAGCATTGGAAGCAATTTGTTCCTCTGATTAATTGTTCTAGCTGTCAAACCGTCCTCAACTTACAAAAGTTCATTTACTGACTGTTCAAACTTACAACGGTACTGAAAAAAGTGACTTATGACTGTTTTTCACACTTATGACCTTTGCCACCTCCGTATGATCATCTGATCAAAATTCAGATTCTTGGCAACTGACTCATATTTATGACCAATGCAGTGTCCCAGGGTCATGTGGTCATTTTTGCGACCTTCTGACAAACCAAGTCAGTTGAGGAAGCCAAATTCATTTAACATCTGAGTTACTAACTTAAGAACTGCAATGATTCACTTAACAGCTATGGCAAGGAAGCTTATAAAATGGAGCAAAACTCACTTAATACATGACTCGTTCAGCAGCAAAAATTTTGGGCTCAGCTGTGGTCATAAATCGAAGACTACTTGTAACATTTTTTTCCAATATTCCTCTATTGGAAACCCCAGGGATTTTCCTCATTCTAACATAGCTGGAGAGGATTGTGTTTCAGTAGCACCATTTCTGATCACCTTGTTTTGAAGAAGAGGAGTATGGAAACCAGGAAGGGGGAGGTAGAGGGTCAACCTTTTTATACTCCTACTTTATGCTTTGACTTTGTGCACAAGATTATTAGAACAGTTAAAATAAACTCTAACTTAGTACCGTAACTGATCCAGACACAGTGAAGGGTTGACACGGTAAGAAGATATTCTTATGATATTATATGCCTGAATTGTGATCTATTTTTCTCTTAATTTTTAGTTGTCATGGCTTCGTGGAAGAAAGGACTTATTATAACCACAATCCTCCTGATTTTTCTTGCTGCTATAATTACAATCATTTGGTTGAATTGTCGTTCGAAAGCAAACGGTAAAACCTGCCTTAAAAATCTTTAGTTCTTACTAGATTAGTGAATAGTACAGAAACCTTCTTCTGAACCTTTTGTTATTAGAATTCATGTTGCATTTCCCTTATTAACCCTGACAAAAGGAATAAAAAAAGACCACCTCCACCCACCTCAATTAATACTCTTTTTTTTTTTCTAAACTAAATTTGTGCTTCGTTTGTCCTGCAGTGGTGCTTCTGCTGATTGGCTGGAAAGTTAAATTTGCAAATGCACACCAATTTATAGTGTTAGGGGATATGTTAGTGAACATAGTGAAAATGTTTATGGAGACTTCTGTTGCAGTATGGGGAAAAACTGAGATGACAGAAGAATTCGTTTGCAAGTTGAAATGGAGAAGAGTATTTGAATTTACAAAATGCAGGCATGTTCTAGGCATTAATCATGAGTTTGCATGCCATACTAATCCTAAATATAGTTGTCTTGGTCCTGGATTAACCCATTTAAGATTATATGTGAAATTGTTCAATATGAGGTATTCAAACAAATTATGGCTTATGGAACATTTGATATTCTCTCCCAATTCTCAAAAAACCCCAAACAATTAGCTACTATGTTTTTTATGTACTGTGTTTGTAAATCCAGGCCCATGTTTTAATAATTTATATCGAAAATGTTTACAGCAATAATAAGAACTAATACAAACTTTGGTAGAATAGAGAAAAGGAAAAGAAAAGAAGGAAGGGGAAGAAGAAGGTAGGGTAGGGTAGGAGAGGAGAGAAGAGGAAAGGAAAGGAAAGGAAAGGAAAGGAAACCAATGTTCTTCACATCAAGTATAAGTGCAATTATATTTTAACCTCTCTCTCTCTCTAAAGTCACATCTTTTTTTCATTTTTATGCAAAACGTTCACAAGGGGTTTCCAGTCACCAATGAATGTAGTTATTGTCCTTTCTTTAATGAAAGAACTCTGCAAGGTCTGTCAACCCTATATAGTGAATATTTAGTTCCACGTGACCAGGAAAATTGAATTAATTAATATGTTTAAAAGGGGAAAAAACAGTATATTTGAAGATATACAAAATAATGTTCTAAAAATTTCATTGATCGATTAAAATTTATATCTGGTAGCAAACAGTAATTGAAAATATCTGCTTAGATAGCCCAGGAAACTCTTAAATATATATTTTTAGGATATTTTTGTAGAACTATCCTATTTAAAACTATGTGATTAATTTTTGATTGTCAGTGGAAAGGGAATGTATATGTTACTGTTCATAAAACTGATTTCTGGTCATTGGTTCTCTATGGGTTATAGAGTTTTGTTTTTTTTTTGATAGCAACATTTTTACAAATGTTGTCTTGCAAGATTTTTTTCATAACTGCCCCATTTGCCATTTTACATGGCCCTACTTTACAAACTCTATTGTTATTTCTGATAGCTACGATGACAAATTATTCTTTAAGAAGTTAGAGAAAACTAACATGAGTTTAAACTAAGATCCATCTGCTTCCAAAGTTCTTTGTGCAGTGTTAGAGTAACAGTATCAGAAGCACTTTTCCTCCATGTTCATTTGTTTATACAACTGCCTTTCTGTTTCTGCACTGCAACATAGTAATTTATTGTTTTTTTCCTCCCTCTTATCAAGCGAAAAACATTTCTACGGAGTTGGCTGTGTAAGTTGGAATTCAAATTGTTATTGATGATATATGTATATCGGTGATGATGATGATGATGTCATCCATTCAATCATATCAGATTTTTGCCAATTCTATGGGCCAGGTCTCTCCACATCTTCCAATCTTGCATTACTTCTTTGAATTTTTCTGTGGTTGGTGTCAGCTTTGATGGTGTCCAGCCATTGTGTTCTTTGGCGGCCTGGTTTCCTTTTACCGCTAACTCTTCCAAACATAATTGCTTTCTGCACGTATATCTATAGGAAGCAATAAATAAATTCCTACCGTTATTCTGTAGGAACACTCTCATTGATCTGCCCAAATGACAAATAATTTAATTAATTACCGGTAGTTAAATTATACAAATGTTTTGAGAGCATTAAGAAAGTTTCTACTATAGAAGTGGTCCATTGGGAGATGTAGAACTATTGAATTAAGAATATTCGGTAAAGAAGGAAATCAGAGTTCAGACATTTCTCCAATTAATTGTACGGGTATACCTCCCCAGCAAAAAGGTGAAGTGGTGAGGAATATCACAGAGGGCTAGAAAAGTATCAGGAAGAAACCTCAATAGTTGCCTTCTGCTAAATGGGTGTTTCGTGAGTGGGCGTGTCAGCCATTTGGTGGAAGAGCCTATAACACGATTGTAATATTCCCGAATAGATTCACCAGTTCAGAAAAGTTGCCTATATGGCAGGAGTCCCCAACTCCCAGGCTGTGGACTAGTACCAGTGTGCAGCCTGTTGGAAACTGGGCCATGGAAGGGGTGGGCATACATGTGAAGCTCCCACTGCCACTGATGTTTCTGCTGCTGGTCCGCAGAATCAGAAAGGTTGGGGACGGCTGCTCTATGGCATCAGAATGGTATACAACTGTGTTTCTGAGACCCTGGATAATCCTGTGTGTAATTTGTAATGCAAGTGCCTCTTTATTTCCCTTGTTCTCTTTCATTTTAGATCCAAAAGAGCAACCAATTCAGTGGATGGGAAACGGATAACGGGACAAAATAATGAAGGAGAATTCTATTATGGTAAGATTATTTGCTTCCTTAATGCCCGTTATAGATTTGGGCACTTCCTCATAGAAGCTATGAAATACTCCCATCCATTGTGGAAATTGGCCTTTCTAACTTAATCTGCCCTGGCAACAAAGCAGAATAAGAATTTGATCTGCACCAAAGAACATCTCCTTTCATGCCAGCTTCTGGTAGGAGAAAACCCACAGGACTTCTGTGATTAGACTTCCCATCCTATGAGTGTCATCCAAAGACAAGCGAAGTGGGGAAAGAGAAATAGACTCAAGAAAACTGGCATCAAAGCTGCTCTTCACCACTTTTTTTTCTGGAAGTAACACCCTTTTAGTAAAGCTGCCCATGGCTTTACCAAATAATTTGCTCCCATTTCGTCTCCTGCTAGCCACAGGTTGGCAGAGAAGTGAGAGCAATAGCATTTTGGCACAATTGGAGAATTGTGACACTGAAAATCAGTGCTAAGGACCAGAAAGGGGAAATGCAACCACCACTGGCTTCCCGGCTCACCCCGGGTCTTGGTCCATTTTAGACTGACCAGATAACACAGATTGTGCTAGAAGAAGCTGGTAAACACAACTGAAGCAGATAAATGTTGGTGTTGAACGTTGAAAATGTTGATGGTGCCTCTCCTCTAAATTCACTTGGCGGGTCCTCTGCAATCTGCAATTAGCTGATCATGCGGAATAATCCTTTATTGTGTAATGCCAACATAATGCCAGCATTGCCAAGATGATGACAACAATGATAGTGGTCCAGTCTAGGCCCAAGATCATTAACTCCTCTTGGCCCAGTGTAACAGTTGTGTTAATGTAACCAAACATGGGACTGTAATGGGGAATTACTGACAGATGCATTTTTTTCCGGGGTAATTCCTTAGAGACTAGTTGATAATTATAGCTGAAAATAAAGAATGAGAATGGTCAGAGTCTGAAATGGGTAAAAACACTAATTCTCTCCCTGATGCTCCTTTTTGTCTTTTTATCTTCATTTTTGCCATTTAGGTTCGGGGTATAATGAAGATGGTGAAAAAAATCATATCAGTGCAAAAGAGGATAATAGAGGTAATATCTTTCTTTGGGTTTCCACATCAAATTTTAACTTTTTAGTGTGGTGCCTTTCTCTACTTGTATCCACCTATGGGATACACCCCTTGGCAACAGGGTTTTTTCCCCTCCTTTGATGTTACCTTTATTTTATACTCCACCCATGCACGGTACATCCTTGAATTGCCTTTAGGTGTAATTATGCTACAGCCACATTTCCTTTCTTAAGCCAAGGTCACGCAGAGCAGTTTAGAGATGTGTAAAATGTGGCCATGTCTGGCAGACAATCCTTTTGCAGTGCAGTCGGGTAAAATAAAATAAACATGAAGGAGGAAGATCATCCTAAAGGAAGTCTCTCTTTGTGGTTGCTAGAATTGACACCAGCTTAATAATACATAAGTACAGAATAACAGAGTTGGAAGGGACCTTGGAGGTCTTCTAGTCCAACCCCCTGCTGAAGCAGGAGACGCTATACCATTTCAGACAAGTGGCTCTCCTGTCTTTAAAAACACCAGTTTTGGAGCACCCACAACTTCTAAAAGCACCCATTCCATTGATTAATTGTTCTACCTCTCAGGAAATTTCTCCTTAATTCAAGGTTGCTTCTCTCTTTGTTTCCATCCATTATTTCTTGTCCTGCCTTCTGGTGCTTTGGAAAACAGATTGACCCCCCCTGCCCTCCTTTGTGGTAGCCACTCAAATACTGGAACACTGCTATCATGTTTCCTCTAATTCTTTTTTTCACTAGATTAGACATATCCAATTCCTGCAACTGTTCTTCCTATATTTTTGTCTTAAGCCCCATCTTTGTTGATCTTTTCTGCACTGTTTCTAGAGTCTCAACATCTTTTTAATATTGTGGAGACCAAAACTGGATACAGTATTCCAACTGTGGCCTTACTATGGTTTTATAAAGTGGTACTAATATTTCAGATGTTCTTGATTCCTATCCCTCTGTTAATGCAACCTATAATCAATCCATCAATTAATAATCTATAAGAATTATAATATAGTCAATAAAACCTATAATCAGGCAGGCAATTAATCAAGGGGAAAAAAAGAAAGATTTACAGGATTGAAACTAAGAAATAACAGATAAAACTAGCATAAATATCATAAGATATTTATGATATAAATACAAAAGAAGCATTTAGATTTTCCCCCCATTAATCATTGTAGTGAAGGTAGGTTTTTACTTCATTATCACTGTATTACTATTTTTGATGTGTTGGTTTGTTGGTTAGTTATACTCCTTTTGGATACTCAAAAGTTGTGCTGGTATGGGTTTTTTTTTTTCCTTTTCCATCAAACCACGGCTTAATGTGTTGCACGAACACACACAGTGTCTTATTCTGCTGGTTTATACATCATACCAAGCCGTAAAGTGTTTGCTGGAGGAAAATGCACATATTTAGTCATTTAGACAAAGGCTTGTATTGTTTTTATAAAGTCAGTGGGAATAAGATCAACTTGAACCAACGGCAGACATATGCAACTTCTCGGTTGTTTTGGAGTCCAACCGAAACAAAAGTTTTCTTACTCTGCTTGTGGCAGGATCTGACCTTGAAGTTCCTGAAGTGGAATATACGGAAGTACAAGTATCGGTGCCTGACCCTTACCGAGGTAAGGAGGACGTCTTGGGACACAGTGTGTCCAGAACAGCTGTGAGATTGATGGTAGTTCCTGAAATTGTTTTTTTTTTCAGAAGCAGCCACAATTAGGCCTGGATAAACAGGAAGAAATGCACCTTCAAGAGCCAGCAGCTCTCTTCCTTCTAGCTTGTTTATTAATTAACAAACCAGCCTTTTATCCTGTTCATTGTGACAAGACGGGCCACCTCATGCACTGAAACGTTAGCCTGAAAAAGCCATCAAAGCTATCCCGTTCATTTCTGCCTTCAGCCTTCCGAACAGCAGATTAAATCAGACATTGAACAAGTGGGCCATTCTCATTTCCTGCTCTTTCCTTCCAACGGCTGCCTCGCAATTGGGTCTGAAAACTTACCCTTACTTCCAGAGCAGAGGGGGTTTGGGGGGAAGAGGGAAAAGAAATCAGACTATGGGGCGCCGGCATGAGGCACAACTTCATAATTTTCCTCTTTAACCTGTATTAGGTTGGCTTCAGAAAACTAGCTGTATAAAAGTTACCTCACCAGAAGATGACTCTGGGCAACTGAAACTAGAATATGTCTCCCCAGCCCGGTGCCCCTTAGGGGGTCCTACATACCAGCCATCAAGGCTGCCCACTATATCTAACTTCCAGGGTTTGAGTTCTGCTCATCTATGGTATGATGTCAGTCTATGGAATTATTTTTCCCTATTGGCTAGCTTAGAGAGCAATACGTACCCTCAGTTCATGCAAAACTATCTTTCAGGGCCTGTTTCTCCTGTCCTCCTGAAGCCCTTATTGGAGTATTTCCATCCTGCCATTCATTCAGTCAACAGAGGCTCTAAAAGGCTTGTGTGATGTCTCCCAGTAGACAAATAAATGGATTGGTGTGAGCGGGGAAAATACCCCATGCCCTGGGGAGGGGGGGAATAGAAAAAAGGTGCTAAGGACCAATTTATTTGGGCAGTTTGGGGGCAGTAAAAATGCCCCACCCCAATTAGTCAACCATGTCTTGGGATTTCTCCCAGCAGATTTGAAGACACATCTGGTAATGCCTTGAATCCAGAGTCTTAGGTATGAGCAACCTAGGCAAGACTGTGATTAGTTCGTGTTAGTTTTGTGAGTGCGTGTATATTTATGAACTTAGAAAGTGGGCCACACCTTAACAGAGCTTTTATAGCCTCATAAGCAGGGATGATCTCATTTGATATTTTAAACAGAAATCCTTAAAAGGTTAAAAAAAAAAACCCTTCCAAGCTGTCATGCCAGCACATTTCCTTTCTTCTACAAAATGAGACTGAATGTCTCACTTCCAGGTTTGAATAAGGTTCCAATTTTTCTCTCTCAGTTTGGTGCAGACACTTAATAATGGCATCTTGGCCGTTATTAAAAATGTATCTTTGTATATGGCATTATTGAAAGCGTAGGATCCTCTCATAAAAAATAAATGATGAATGAGTGATGGATATGCTTTCCTGGATAAAATTGTTAGCCTATCATTTTATGAAAGATTTGTAACAGGGAGGAAAATACAGAAGGAGCCTTCTGGATTACCTAAGTTGTATTTTGATCAGAAGAATAATTTGCCAGAGAATTAATTGCCTGAATTAAATATGTTGTTTATTAGATGCATTCATAACAATCTGTCAGGAGGACAGAAAAAGAGGAAGGTATAGAAATAAATTCTGTTCAGATTTGCAAGAGATAACTGACAAATCATTTCCACACAAGTGGTTTATAGCATTTTCTGGAGTCATCCAATCATTCTTCTGCAAAAAATAACAGCAATGAGAACAGGCTGTATATTACTTTATAAAGGGCTGAGTGATGCTCTGAAGATGCTAGAAGCCAAGGAAGTCACTGATGCAGAAGACCTCTGCAGATTAAACCATGGGTCAGTGCCTTACCCACTGGTTAGAGACCAAACAAAATAAAGTATGGCCTGCCTCAGCTATATTGGAAGCAGCTCCACTGGTCAGCTTCCCTGCCACCTTTAATTATAGTTCAGTTTGACCCATTTAAAGATAGTTTCTGATTCTGCACTGATTTTATTTTCTAGCTCCTGTAACAAATAATGAGACAGTTTATACTGAAATCAGAAAAACTATTAATGGTAAGTAAACAAAGGGGAAAAATTAGATTGAAAAGTTAAGTATCTCTACCTGGTACTTTTACACCTATTTTTGTAAAGAAAGAAGAAAGCAAAAATAATGAATTCATAGATTGCAAACTCATACCAGACATAATGAATATTCTTGGAAATAAGTCTCATGAAATTCTGTGGAATTTAAATTCTGAATATATATCTGCATAGGATTATAGAAGAGAAGCTAAGGCTTATAATTTTTCTGAGAGTAAATCCTTTTAATGGGATTTACTTCTGAGTAGTTATAAAGTCAGGGATTACTGTGCAGGCAGTTATTAAACTACTCATCAACATCATGTTGACGGTACATCTCAGTTCATCCTTTAAGACATACCTGGTGTTATTCCTGTTCCAATTATTTTGATCTGAATAAATCTCTCTGAAGTTCCTTGTACGCAGTCATTTAAACTTGATGTCATCATAAATTGTGGTTTTAAAACCTTCCTTGCTTGTCATCCAATGGAACGCCTCATTATTGCTTTCTATTCCTAATTTTTCTTCCCTTTTTAAATGATGGTAAATTGTCCCGTGGTGAATTGGCTGTGGCAAGTTGTCCTGTGGTGAGCTGGTTGTGGCGAGTTGGCAGTGGAGAATTGGCCGCAACGAGTTGTCCTATTCTGCTCCAAAGTGCCACGAATCTTGTCTTTTCAGTGTCAACTGATTATGTGCAATAGATAGTTGTCAGCTCTTAACAACCACACAGGTAGATTTTCTCCATAACAATTAAGGAGAGATTGGTCCTTTAAGTCTTCCAGCAATGCACCCATCACCACTGTAAATGAATCTATCCATCCCTTCTGCTGGTTGTCCTCTTTTTCTCTTTCCTTCCTACTTTCCCAGCATTAGATCCTTTTCCAGAGAGTTAAGTCTTCTCATAGTGTCCAGATTAAGATAATTTGAGCCTGGTCATTTGTGTCTCAAATGAGAAATCTGGGTTGATTTCTTTGGTGATCTCTTTAATTGTTTTCTTGTAATTACTATTGTTCAGGTACACCACTTATTTTTATCTAGGGATGAATGGCAACCTTTCATTAGTTTACACAGGAAACAGTGCATATCAATTTGTACATCCTTGCCAAATATACAAGTTTTTATCTCCCCAAATATGGGATGGTAATCTCTATCTCAATTTTATAACCAATAATATTTTATTCAGAGTTTTCTTTTTTTTATGCACAGGATTTTTAACCAAATTTAAGTTTAAACTTTTGGGGATGTTATGTCTTACTGAACTTTGTCTTTTATGATTTTGGAAAAACTGATTTGGAAAAAACTGCATATACTAAAAAACCCTCTTCAAATATAGAAATGAAAATATGGAAGGTTTTAAGGAATATGTGGATATCTTGCTGACTAGCTGTTTTCTATATTTGTATTTATGCTTCAGTCCTAAGGGTCTTGGAATAATACTCCAGGGAAGATGTTATCTTCCTAGCTCCTGTAACTCTTATGGGCTACCAATGTTGGTGGGAGAGAGGGGGAATAGATCAGAAAGTAGATATTTGGTGTACTGTGAAAGTAAAGGCCTTTTCAATCTATAAACATATGAACATCCCAACTTGGAGGAAGAGTGGTATCAGCTGGGAGGTAATGTCAATACAATCAGTCCTCAATTTACCACCATAATTGAGCTCAGAATTAAGTTGACCTATTCAGCATGGCATCATGTGACTGCAGGAGGGGGGGCGCATGACCATTTACCACAGACAGGCTGCTCTAAAGGATATAAAGCACCTCTTCTGTGGGCATTGTAACTTTGAACTGTTGTAAAATGCCTGGTCCTTAAATGAGGAGTGCCTGTAATGTTTCCATTTCTTAAAGTGCTCCAAAAGTGTTTTGTCCAGAAGGCAACTGGGCTTTCTTGTTGAAACTAAAAAAGGCCAGTTGCCTTTTGGGGAAAAACACCTTTGGGAGAACTATGACTCAATAGATATTTCTTAGAATGCAAAATTTGACTTGCCTCAGCTTGGCTTGGTTTAAAGAACTACTGATAGGAGGATTTTTCTTTCTCTTCTGGCCTCCTGCTACATTTCTTTTTTGCATCATCACCTAGGGTGAGGTATAGGTTGCTATATTTTATGCAACAATTCTCTTTTGGGAAAATGTATACTAAAACAAATTTCACTACTTCATCAACCTAAATGAGTTTGTGAAGGGCAGGTCTTGCTTCAAATCTTTTAAAATCAGTATTTCATTTGTTATAAAGGAAGAAAATTTGTTTAATCAATGTCATTTGATTAAAATGTGATCTGGATTTGATTGGTGAGAAGCACCCCTTCTCTCTTGCACATATCCGGCTGCAACTTCAGTTATTTTTGGAAATGTAGTAAGACTGTATTGTTCTAATTACATCTGTTTTTCCTGTGGGATACACAGGAAAAGTGTTTCAAATAGATAAGCAGGACATCACACAACATTAAAAGCAGTTTGGAAGTTTATTATGTTACTAATTGAATCATAACTATGTTGACTTTAATTATGGAGATAGTTCATAACGGTATTTATATAAAAACACACATTCCGCCCATACAGGAGAATCAACAAAACAAAGAGGTGGGGAAATATCTTGGCCTATGAACTCCATTTAAAAGCTCTGCTAGCTCCTGAGATTCTAAAAAACAGAGACTCTGAGTTCTAGTCCTTCCTTAAGCATGAAAGTTGGATAGGTAACTTTGGGCCAGTCACTCTCTCCAGGGATGTTCACTGCCTTGAGTTATTTGTAAAAATAATAAGCGTGGCCTTCTGGACTAACAAAACTTCTGAACTAACAATTCCCAGAGAATTCACAATTCTCAAGCAGCATGCTCATTGCCAATGCCAACAGACATCTGGAAGCCTTCCACCCCCATTTCACTCATAATTGGAAAAGGTACTTATGTTATTTTCCTTTTTGTTTTTGCCCATTTGACATCTGCAGGCTAAATAATAGGGCTCACCAAATTTCCTATGTTGTGCACTTCACTCTATTTATGGAACCTTTTTTTCTCTCTGCAGTATGATAGAGATGAATCTGTTGTGCATGTGCTCTTTTGTTGTGCCTTGAATATTGCCCACTTGTATGTGAACATTTGATATCATGGAAGGATGTAATTGACTGTGAATGTTAGTTTGTTCTATTAAGCATTATTCAAGTGAGATCTATCTTTCTCTCTCTCTTGACTTGCTGTTTGAAAAGACTTACTTTATTTCCTGTTCTATTCTACTTAGTTGATGGTTATACTTTAAAGCTGCATACTACCTTGAACATATTCCTGTATTTAAAAAATCAGGGTACTCGTTATTTTATAAACTTGATGGGCTCTTCATATTATAATGAAGAAAAGCACTACTGCGGTGTCTCTCCCAGTTCTTTTTAAATATGCACATCTAAGATAAGGATTATACTGTTTATGTCTTGCTATTTAATAGCCACAAAACCTCCTGGGTGTTGATTCGGTAATTGAGTGACAGTATCTAGAAGCCAATAGGAGAAAAAAAAATCAGCAAATCAATGATACCAATTGATAAGAATTTCAAGGAAAAAAATCAGAACGAAACCTATGGTTTGAACTACAATTCTTTTCCCTAGAATTTTAGACCTGGAGATGGCCACACGGATCTGCAGTGTTCAATGTTTAGGAAACCCAACGAAACCCTCCTTGAGTGGTGGGTATGCACTAAGTTCTAAAAAGCCTCTAGAGCAGGGGTATCAAACTCAAGGCCTGGGGGCTGGATTGGCCCATGGGGTGCTTAGATTTGGCCTGTGGGGCCATCCTGGAAACAGCAAAGGACCAGCCCACAGTGCCTCTGCCTGCAAAAATGGAGCTCACAAGGATTGCACACAGCCCTCCCAAGCTCTGTTTTTGCTGGCAGAGGGTTGCAGGAGGCTGTCCTCACCGAAAACGGAGCTCAGGAGCCCATTTTCGCTGGCAGAATGCTCAGGCCACCACAGGTGCCCCCCTCGACACGAGTGATCTCATGCTGGCCACGCCCAGCCTGGCTGCACCCACCGCGGCATCCCAAGGTCAAAGATAACCTGGTGCAGCCCTCAATGAAATTGAGTTTGACACCTCGTCTCTAGAGGTGAAAAATCTTTTATAGGTGGACTGTTCCCTTTGTTGAGCAGAAAGTTTCTCCCAATATTTAAATAAAATTTAGTTTGCTGCAACTTATACCTTTTCTTTCTGGCCCTTAGTTACATTGGCCATGGAAAATAGTTCAATGCCATGAATATGGCTACTATATCTCCTAAGTCTTTTCTTCACACTGTCATCCCAAGGTCCTTCTGTCTGCCTAGGGCTTGTCCTCTATCATCCATATTACTGCCCTCTGAATCCACTCCAACCTGTCAGTATCTTTTTGGAAATGTGCCAAAAAAATCACACAGACTACTCTGGACATGGTCTCAACAGCACCAGATTGAAGGGAACAATTATATACCTGTTTCTGATAGCATAATTCATTATGTCTCCTATTCTGGAACATTTCTGCTGTAACCAACACAACCTTGGTTATTGCCTAAAATATTTTCACAAAATTATATCTTTATTCGGCTTATATTTTGTTTCCTACTGATCTCTTTCCCCTCCATTTTGGCTATCTCACACAACCAACCATCTACATGTAAAACCATGTCTTCCACTTTAAAAACGCACTTTGTAAACTGGTAAAGTATATTTTGGTGCAGTGATATTAGGTTTATTATCTTTTTTAAAAAAATTGCTATAACTCTGGCCCACCCCAAGTTGTTCTAATCAACAACTTTGTGCTATACGCTGGAAAAATGACTCAGTTTTTAGGCGGCACGTTTTGTGTCGAGACAGGAAGAGGTCAGTTTAACATTCTGTCACCCACAACATTCTGTGGAAAAACAAATATTCTCAGCAACACCAAGCATGAGAAAACCTTGTTGCATTTTCAGAGCTCTAGAAACCTGTCGTGCCAATTTCCTGCTTCCAAATTCCAGACCTTCAAAAGGATGCTCTTATATGAATTAAGATTCCTCCTAGCAAATACCAGCCTGATTTGGAATCCCATGAAAGTGCTAAACATCATTTAAAAAATACTAGGATTGGATATTTTGTCCAGATCTGGAAGAGTAGATGGACATAGCATCATAGAATTCATAAACTTCATGTGTACTTTGCTCATTTCTTTATATATGTTTGGATTTACATTTGCGCAAGAACCTTTATGGTGCTTGTATGCTGATCCAATCTTTAAATCTGGAATGCATTTGCCAAACGGCTATTCTACAGTACCTTTGTTAAAAGTGCAGGTGTAAATTATATTCTTTTCTTTGGAACTCCTACATTGTTTCCTTATGAAATAAATATTTGGAAACATAATACAGATAACCTTCAACTTATGATCATAATTGAGTCCAAAATTTCTATTGCTAAGCAAGACAGCTGATAAAGGAAATGTTCCCCATTTTACAACCTTTCTTGTCACATTTGTTAAGTAATAACTACAGTTGTTAAGTTAGTAACATGGTTGTTAAGTGAATCTGGCTTCCCCGTTGGCTTTGCTTGTCAGAATGTCACAAAAAGTTATCACATGACCCTGGGACATTACAACCATCATAAATACATGCCAGTTGCCAAGCATCCGAATTTCAATCACATGACTGTGGGGAAGTTTCATAGGTCATAAGTGTGAAAAACAGTCATAAGTCACTTTTTTCAGGGCCCTTATAATTTCAAAAGGTCACTAAATGAACTGTTGTAAATTGAGGACTACTTGTATGTACAATCAAGACAGACTGGTAGAGAAGATACAAGCATCTCTAGAATCAAGACAGCACTGATATCTGAAGCATTTATTGTTATGCTGTAATAGTCATAATGTGAAAAGTGGTCATCAGTCACCTTTTTCAGCACTGCTATAATTTCAAATAGTCACTAAACAAATAGTTGTAAGTCAAGGATTACAACTGTAAGCAGGCAGTGTTCAAATTTTTCATGAACACCAAGTGAGCACCTGAATGAAGGATCAGCATTACATTCTAAGGACCTAATGCAGTAGTAAGGAAGATTACCAGCTAATGGGGTATGTGAATAACAGGAAATGCAGCCCCATCACATCTGGGGAGTACTAGATTGAGGAAAGCTAATTTAAAGTGATCTAAAGCCATATTGGGAAATGAAATAATCTAGCTGTTTTAATATTAACAGATTATGCAGCAGAGAAACAATTAGGTTAGACTTCATCATAAAATATTGCTGACCACTCACCATAGGGTGAGTAAAACATGGGATATCCGTTGTTGTTTTTTTCAATTTTCCATCTCCCATAAAATTAGCGAACAACCTTTCATTTGGAGCTCTGGAAATATACAAAATTTATAATTTCCTCCTTCCTGGCAAGACAATAGTTAGCACCCTACAAAAGTCTTGGGTAATTTATTTCAGATATGTTATTTCAAGTGACTCTTTGATCTTAACTGGTTGAAGGGGATTATTATTCTGGAGTTTATCTTCTTTACAAAATTCACAATTGCTTTCCATATCTTATGTCTGCCTTGTTAGTGAAGACCATGCTGGCTGGGGGTTATGGAAGGTGAAGTCAAACTCATCAAATTGGAGAAGGTTGAACAAAAGGTTGAGCCACGTCCTCTGTCTGTTTTTTTCTTGCCATGTATATATCTGTGCAAGAAACCTCTATTTTTCTGAATAAATTGGAGAAGAGCCTGGGATTGACATGAAATAGGGGGTTTCCAACTTTAGAAGGTGCTGCAAGGGCGTGGGAGGAGGAAAACATTTGCTTGCTTAATTTTTAGGCTTATATCCCACCTTTTCTCCAAAGCTTAAGGCTCCATGGAAAGCCACAGAGAAGATCTGGGAGAAATTAGGTGATGATAGTTACCATATAGTATGTTATAAGGGAAAGGAAGAAAGCATTACAGGTAGTCCTCAACTTATGATCACGGACCATGGGAATGCTGCAACTGTCATAAGTGTGAAAAATGGTCCTAAGCCACTTTTTTCAGTGCCATTGTAACTTCTAACAGTCTTTAAATCAATGGTTATAAATCAAGGAGTATTTGTAGAAAGAAACTTAGATGCGTTCTGCCTTGATTCTCTGCAGATAATGAAAAATGCAATCAGGTTTTCATGATGTTATTATAGACTAATTCAATAGAGTTACAGATTTCTTGTGAAGGATGTTTGCTTAGTCTACTCAAAGGGATGACACATGCATAACATTTCATTTTTTTCTCTTTTCCCACAAGTACTATTTTCTGTGATCTATTGGGCTGACAAAAAGTGACTAATCAAAAGCCATTCCCTGAGTTTCCATGGCCATCAACAAACTTATTTGGAGCAGCAGGAGTTTTGTGAGAGAGTTACATAGAGGGTATCAAGAATAGCGTTGAAGGACCAAAGGAAGGGCCATATAAAGGCAACAGTCAGATAAGAGGGGCTTGAGCCCTTGTCAAGAAAATATCTGGAGAACAACATCTCATCTCAGATAGGGCTCTCTCTAGTTCCCACAAGGTGAGGGAAGGGGGTGCACATTAACTCTTGCAAGACTCTGTTGCCATAGCTGTTACAGTACTATTATTCCGTTTTTCTAAGAATCCTGTGAACTATAGTCGGATGAGTGTAGTGGAATGTAGTCTGGATTCCCAGGAGGGAGGGGCTGCATTCCAGAGGGAAAGAAGGCAGGGATGCATGGGAGGTTTGGTTGGGAGGAAGAGAGTTTAAACAGGTCTTCCCTAACGATTTCCAATTGTGGTCACATAGCTGTTTTCTGGCAAGATCTCGGTCCATAGGTGAGGAACAATAAAGGAATCTACTCAGAAATAACTCCATGTGTCAACAAATTTTAGCCATTCTATGTGATGATGTCACAGAGAACTAGGAAAATTTCCAGTGAGTCAGTTTTGTGTAAATAATGGACATAAGCCTTGTGGGAGGAACAGGACTGTATGATTAACATTTTTAGTTTTAGAGATAAAGACAGACTCTCTGGTTGGATGTTGCTTGCTTTTCTCAGAATGTTTTTCTACATTATTCCACATTACTAAATGTACTTCTCTGGTCCCCTGGGGACTTATATCATCATAAGCATCGCACCTAGTTCATGCATCAGATCTGTCATGTGCTTCTTTTGACAAATTATATTAATTACCGTTTCCCAAGTATGGCCATTAGTATTAGTGCTACAGGGAGGTAGTTGGAATAACTGTTGCTTAGGGGTTGTCCTTGAAACATTCACCAGTTAGGGGGCCATTTTCTTTTTTGTTTGCTCTGCAGATAATATGAACTGGGCATGTTTATGAATTACTGTAATACATTTTGCTTTTTTTAGCCTCATGCATAATGATTTGAAAGTAAATCCTACTTTGTTTGATGGGTAAATTGCTCAGGTTTATGTAGGAGTTCGGGAAAAGGAATATAAACAGTCATCAAATCAGAAGGCTTTGGTCAATTTTTTCTTGATTTCTGAAATTGATATAAAGAGTGGATTCATCAAAAATGTTCTAGCTCTCATTGGTATGCTACCAATAAATGACTGCTATGCTACTGTCAGAAACAATTAGATCTTACTGAATATGTTACCTAGTTTGGGTAATAAAATGTCTGAAAGAAAACAAGCAAGCTCAAAAAGCACCAAGAACCCTCAGACTTTACTTTTCCTTATCTGAAAAATGAAAGTTAGGATTATTTAAGCCTCATCTTGAAATGCGAGATAAATGTAAATAATTAACGATTTAAAGGAAAATCTTAGAGTGCTTGAGTGTACATTTGTCTACTAAAGTGATAATTTTAGGAGTGGTGATTTTTAATCTATATCTTATGATTTTCAGATGCCGGGGAGAACAGACATTCTGTAAGTATATTTTTCATTTGACTAGTACCCATTGGGAGAAGTGTTTAATATTTCAGTTGCCAAAGCAGAAGCCAAGTTGTCTGGAATTGATTCATAAATATGTGTTAAGCCTATTGCACTTCATTAAGTGTATTCTGCATCTGTGGGCTGTATATTATAAATAGACAGAAGGGAGATGTGATAGTTTTAATCAGTGATGGGATTCAAAAAAAATTACTACCGTTTCTGTGGGTGTGGCTTGGTGAGCGTGGCAGGGGAAGGATACTGTAAAATATCCATTCCCTCCCCACTCCTGGGGGAAGGTTACTGCAAAATCTCCATTCCCTCCCCTCCCCACTAACCTGCTTTCCAGCTCCGTTCTCCTGTGCAGGGCAACAAAAGAAGACCCAGCCGATCAGCCGGGACCCAGAAGGCAGAGAATAGGTGGGGGCAGGGTCAGTCAGAGGTGGTATTCCGAACTACTCAAAATTTCTGCTACTGGTTCTCCAGAACTGGTTAGAACCTGCTGAATACCCACCTCTAGTTTTAATGCTTGAAACAGTTTCAAGGGTTACATTGTCCTGGATTAGGAGCATGCAAATTGACTAATACCAGCTTGTATGTATACTGTATACTGTGTTGTACTGTGAATTAGGACAGTGTGTGATAAACGAAATATATAGTATACTTACAAGCTGGGTATTAGTCAACTTGTATGTACATTGCCAATCCTGGTTATCCTGAAGATGTTTCTGCTGTTTTTGGCTGTCTAATGCCAAATTACTGCTATTTCTTTGTCTGTGGTGCTGGAGACAAGCATCTCAGAGAAAAAAAAAACACTCTAAAAAGGTTGATAAACCTGTTAAAAGAAGCATGCAATTAATAATAGCAAAAAATAAGGCTAACTAAATGCACATACAAAAAAAAAGCTGTTGAGACTCTAGAAAGGGTGATGAATGGTTGCAGGAACTCAGTATGTCTAGTCTAATGAAGAAAAGGACGAGGGGTGACATGATAGCAGTATTCTAATATTTAAGGGGCTGTCACAAAAAGGAGGGAGTCAACCTATTCTCTAAAGCACCAGAAGGCAGAAGAAGAAGAAGAAGCAAGGATGGGAAGTTATCAAGGCAAGATCCAATAAAGAACTAAGGAGGAATTTCCTGAGAGTGAGAACAATGAATCAGTGGAATGGCTTCCATTCAGAAGTTGTGGGTCACTGGAGGTTCTTAAGAAAAGATTGGACAGCTATTTGTCCAGAATGGCATAGGATCTCCTGACTGAGCCAAGGGTTGGACTAGAAGACCTCCAAGGTCCCTTCCAACTCTGTTATTCTGTATTCTATTCTTATGTTGCATGTTTACAGAGCAGTAGGTGGTTGGACTTCCTAGTGTAGATGGCACTGAATAGGAAAGAAAAGCGCATCGTGGAATCTACAGTCACTACCCTGAAACTGCCTAGTATTATGTTGTATTGGAGGAGCAACACTGCATGGCCTCAGAGTGGATATGCTGTAATGATAGGCTGTGGGTTAAGTGCGATTAATGCTAATACATTTTCCAATTCAAGGACAGGGAGGAAAGCACAAAGATGTGGCCATGAGAAAACACCCTGAGGGATCAGGAACCAGCTTCCACTGGAAAATAAGATGATTTTAATTTATCCTCTTACCCTTGAGCTCTTCGTGTCCCTTTCTGAACTATCCTAGAGAATCTTTCAATGCTCCAGAGCGATTTTTCAGGGGAACAGGGGAATTTGCAAACATTATCCCTCTCCTCCTTCAGCATCCTGTAATCTCTGAACTCAAGCCAACATATATTTAGGTCGAATATTGAGAACACTTCCTAAGCACAAATTCAATCATGCAATCAACTGCTCTGGAGTCTCCTTTCCTGGTAGCTTTCAAGGATAATCTAAACTAGAGCCTGCCCTTTAATTCTAAAGCTTTTTGCCACAGGATCCTTTCTTCAAAATTCAAGATTCAGCTGATCATCTGAACAAACTTTGTTCATCATACAGTAACCTTGTTGAGAATGGTCATATAACTCCTGTGGCCTGTTAAACTCTGTTGAGGTATTTCCAACAAGGGAACAAGGCAGGTATTGGTGTGAGATGAGTGCTGTGCAGATCCCACAATTACTGTAACTGGAGGATTGCAGTTGTAAGCAATTTCACTATATCCCTGTATTTAGTTGTTGTTTCTGTGCAGTGAGTTCATGTTAGAAATCTTGCTGTTTGGGGCTTGTTTAAGATGCCTTTTCAGCTTGCGTCACCTTCCAATTTGATGTGAACCTGTTATAACAGTTTGCTGGCATGAGTAGAAAGAAGAGGCAGAGTACAGAATTCTGATGAGTCATTGTGAGTTTGAAAGAACTTTGCCACCATAGTGTGTACAGAGACATTGAGAAAAAGATACGTTTCTTTCTCTCTCTCTTTTTTTTTTTAAGATCAGGAAGATATCTGTGAGTTTAGACCCAGACCTGAGAAGGCAGAATAAGACTTATAATTATTGACTAGCAAGCAAGTTCTGATTGGTTGACATTCATCTGTCAGCCAATCAGTTCTCTAGAGATATTTCGTACTGTCCTGAGAGGGCAAGCCTCATTGGCTAGTATTTTTCCTTGACTTGCAAATATGAAACATGCCTTTCCTCATGAAAAGCAAGAAAGCGGTTTAAACATTGTAGGTTTTGTGTACACCTGATGAAGTGGATTATAATTAATAAGAATTTATACCATTGTTAGTTTAATTCTTTAAGATGTTAGCAGCAACAAACTAACATCACTATCCATCTGGTATTTATGATGGATAGTAAAAATGTAATACAATTGCTTCACTGCATCTTTACCAATTCCCAGCAAGGCTTGTGTTTGTTTGACAAAAAATGCAAAATGAAATTAATTGTGTAGTTAAAAGAGGCTACAAACAAATGTTGCAATTTATACAAGTTGAACTAACCTGTTTAGAAGATGCTCTGATAGGAACTGAAATCAGCATAGCTGATCAATAGCCATCCGTATAATTTAATAGATTCCCTGTTAAACTTCCGTTATTTCTGTTATTTGAAATCAAACTAAACTAGGAGAATTTCAAAGTATAATGAAACTTGAAGCAAATGTGAACTATGTAGATATTTGGAGTTCTTTTAAGAGATGTCATCCTACTTTCCAGTGGACATAAAATAAAAGCTCATAGAACTACTGTTTGTCACTATCCACTTCAGATTCCTGGATGACTGAATTTCTCCGTGAGGCATATTACTCATGATCTATAAGCTATCCCAAGTTAGTTTCGAAAGTTTCAAGGGCAAATTTTGAGTTACTCAGAAAGGAACTGGGTGTGGGTTTCCTTCCTGGAATCAGAACTGGCAATCTTTCTGTACTGTTTAATATTACTACCATTTTCTGAAAACATATTAAAAGGAAATATCTTAACAATAAGGGAGCTACTTCATGAAACACTAATTTAATATTGTTTGGTTTGCCTCAGAAATACAACTTCATTTTGTAGACTATGCTCCTTCAATCTTTTACCTCCTTGTGTAGATGCATTTGTTTATTTTATTGAGATCTTAGTACGATATAAAATGTGTTTTAAGTGAAAAAATGAGAAAGATGTAAACTGACTTTATACTGTCCATTTCAAAGAAAATGTTAAAAATAGTAATGTGAGATGCTTAGGAAATATTCAAACACCCAAAATTGAAATTCTAGAATAGGCATTGGATATTTGTCTTAGAAATGCATATTTGTATACTCTTAATGACGCAACTCATAATGCTGTTGGAATGTACCAGCTTCTTTCTCTATTACAAAGTAACAATCCCTAAAAAGGCAAATGTTGTTACTTCCAGGTAATGATGGGATCTGCCCTTTGGAACAATATTCTCCCCATAATTAGACTGGCCCAAATCATCCAGTTTTTCAGAAAGTTTAAATTTTTTTAATACATTCCTAGACAAGGGGCTTAGGTGGCTAATTGGTGCCCTTGAAAACTTGTTGTTTTATTGTTGGCTGGGTTTTGCCCTCAATTGCCATTATGGTCTTTATATACTGTTGTTTACTACGGTAGTGTCAGGGTTCCGACTGATGCCCTAATTAATCAGGTAGTTCTTATTTGATATTGTATTTTTATGTGGTGTTGTTAACCACCTTAAGTTGCCGCAGCAAGGCGGGTGGCCATATAAATCAAAGGTATATAATAAAAATGCATTTCTTTACCTTATACTTGAATTTACACTCAGTGGTGGGATTCCAATTTTTTTACAACTGGTTCTGAGGGCGTGGCTTTGTGGGTGTGGCAGGGGAAGGATACTGTCCAGTCAGAGGTGGTATTTGCTGGTTTTCTGAACTACTCAAAATTTCCACTATTGCTTCTCCAGAACTGGTCAGAACCTGCTGAATACCACCTCTACTTACACTATGAGTAAAGCTGGGAAATTTTATAATATAAAACAAATATCTAAGAGGATGGGACATGGTAATGATTTCTAAAAACTTGCATGACATGGAGAAAATCTAGAGCCAAGTTTTTCTTTCTGTCAAACCCTCGATCAACTTATGAAGCCAACTTGTAGAACATGAGGTCATATTATACAAAAAAGCTAAACTTCATATTCCAAGAACCTACCTTATGCTATATGCAATAATAGTTCGATATCCGTGCTTCACTACGAAACTATGTGGTCAGGCTTAGTTTTTGGGGAGGAAAGTAGGGGGGGCGGAATTCTGCCTCTGCCTACCAGCATCCGTCGGTTTTCATCTGGCTAGCGTCCTGTCAGTCTGTGAGAGAGATGAGGGCTGTTTGGAAACTGAAACAGTATTTGTTGTGTGAGCAAGAAGGAGACAGCAATGAGCCTGGGCATGGCTTAGCTCAACTGTTCTGTACTAAAGCTACTTGGTGCTGTGAAACTAAAACTGAAACTCCACTCCTCTGCTTGTGTTTTGCATTTGGAACAGATTTCTTTTCAGGTAGGGAGGGGGAGTAGAACTCCTTAGCATTAGAGCGTGTTAATAATAATATATGAAATACTAATGCTCTGATGGTCATTTCGAAAAATCCTTTCTTAGTGAGCACCTAGAAGCCAAGAGGGAAATAAGTGCCATATTTCAAGTTTGTAGGCGTTACAGTTCTGGAGATTTTGTGATGATGTGTGAGTGATATTTCCTGTGTATGTATGTATGTATGTATGTATGTATGTATGTATGTATATGTATATGTATATGTATATGTATATGTATATGTATATGT